GCTGCGGAGCCCGCTGCTGCCACCTGCGGGCGGAGAGCGGCACCCGCCTGCGGCCCGGCCCGCCCTGCCCTGGGCGCGGCGGCGGGAGGACCAAGTTTCTCGCGCAGCCTGGAGCGGCTGCCAGGAGCTTGGCTCGCTGGCTGGGAAGAGAAGAGGTGATGTGAGATCCGCCCGGGACAGGAGTGCTTGGAACGTAGCGCCGCGAGGAAGCGGAGGAGCTCGGAGAAAGCTAAATGGCGAGGCACGCCCTGTTCTTAACAGGTTCGGGCTGATGGAACCGCGTCCAGCTCACAGCTTCCTTTCCGCGGCAAATGGGATTTGGCCCTGCTGAGAAAATGGCTTTTGTGTAGGACAATTTAGGCTGGGGACTACAGTCAGGACCCCAAAAGATCGGCTTTCAAAATAAATATTACTTTGTATCAGAATGGCCGGGAGAATGAGTGAATAGGACACACAGGCGCTGTATTCTGAAGTCTGCAGCAGAGTGAATGGTTTGTCACCCTAGAAAGCCCAAACAGGATTTGGCTTGTTAAATTTATTAACATGCTGTATTACTGCCCTGAGAGTTAATTTAAAACAACAACAACAAAAAAAAAAAAAAAAAAAAAAAACTTCCCAATTATAAATGAGCTTTTCTTCTAAAAAGTGCTTTCAACTCAGTGAAATTCTAAGAGAAAATTCGTGCTGTGTGTTACCCTCCAGAGGTCGGAGCAGGTAACAGGAACTCCACAGCCTTGAGTGAAAGGAAGCCAGAGCTGTCCCACAGTGTTTTTTATTGTTGTTAATATTTGGTCTTTACACACAAGTGTCCAGTACACCCTAGATGGCAGATGTTTCGCATTGCCAAACAAAAAATAAAGCTGTTCTGTACACTAATGCCACAGTGTCAGTTGTATTTTATTATATTTTTAAGTTGACCATAGCAACAGTGCATTTGTGGGAATCCATCTATAATCCCAAAGTGTTTTTTTCTTTCTTTTTTTTCTGCAAGTCCATGCAAGAGAAAGGCAAATAGGTGTCTGCAGCTGACTGTGCCTCTCCACTGCCTGTAGCCCATGAGCTGAGTCCTTTCCGTACATACCCTTTTTCTTTGTGTACGCACTGAGCATTTTCTTGACCCAAGAAGCGTTTGACTGGAAAGTGAAGTAGTATTGAGACCAACCCAATACGAATGGGAAGTAGTGCCGAAAGACCCCCGCTTCTTCAGCTGACAGATGGGATACGCAGCACCCTCCTCCATCAGCACCCCATGGTGATGGGGCACCGGTTGTCCACAGTGGTGCCCTGCTCACCCGTGGACTCTGGATTGCATTTCTGCCCTGCCTTGTTCCCTGTCCCATTCCCTGGGATCCCCTCTATCCATTTAGTGCATAAAGTACTGCGCTAAATCATTACTGCCTGCCTCCTGAAAATCCCACCCTGAAGCCATCAGCGGCCTTTATTCCTGACCAGTCACCTGTGCAGTATTCTCAGGAGAGGGAGCCATAAATATTATCAGTTTTGATTATTAACTGCATGCACCGTCTGCGTTACCTGCAAATTTTACATCTGGTTCAGCGATCATAGGAAAACTGCGAAGCAATGCCTCACAGACACAATATCTAAAAGAGAATTTGAGTATTTCGATGAGAAGCACACGTACTTGGTGACAGAGCCAACAAATTTGATGGCACTTCTGTGAGACACTGAAATCTCCCAAACCACTGTGCCACACAGGGATGTCACTATACTGATAAATTTTTTGGAATTTTATTGAAGAATGATGACAAACACATTGCAAGTGAAGACCACACATCAGAGCCTTTAGATACAGTCTAGATAATGCCTGCCTTAAGGAAAGGTGCCCTCGTTAGAGATGCAGTCCCGTTCCTGAAGGTGGCTGTGCCCTTGATCAATTTCCTGTGTCCCTGGAACCGGTGCCTCAGTGGAAGGAACATTAATCACAACCTGGAGAAGAGCTACTGGTTCAGAGAAGAACGTGGAGGGGAGAGCTATCTCCAGTTGGAATGCTGGTTGCATTTTCATTCAGAAGGAAGGCCATAAACTATTGAGCTCTAAGGTGCTAAGGGCTTTCCTGGACTAGCCTGGTGACATTAGTATTGTTAATTACCTTGTTTCTGTGGGGAAAATAGGTTACATATTCCGCACCTCCATCTGGCTCCCCTTGGCACCCTGCTTCAAAGTGCTTCTCAAGGTTGTTTCGCACCTATTACCTCATCTATCTTCCAGGACAAGTCGGGGACTGCAGTCAGTGCAGACACTTGGCGAGCGCCAGTCTGTCCAGCGCTCAGTGCAGCAGGAGCCGAAGCAGGCGCCTGGTTCTGTAGCTTCCCTGAGAAGTCCCCCTCCACAGTCATTTAAAACAATGACAACAATTATCCTTATAATCAGGAGGCCAGTGTTTTTTCTTGTTTGAATAATAATAGCTATTAAGGAAATTAAAATACCTTTAAATGTTGAGAGTAAATAAAAAGAAAATGAACATTCAGTCCTTCAGTAAAGGAGTAATTTCCATCATTTTTATGCACAAATTAGTTTCTACACAAACAAGGTATTTTGCCTTTAAACTAAGCAGAGAGTGCAAAGATCTATCCAGGTCATTAATCATTAATCACATGGACTCTACAAGCAACTCCGTTCCATAATCCACTCTGCTATTTACTTAATCATAGAGAAAGCGCCTTGGTTTTTCGGATCTCTAAAATGGGAGGAATGATAATGCATGTATTTTTTTATACAGCTGTTGTAATGTTGGCATGTAGCTCTCAGAACTGTGTATAAACTTAGTCACTACTTTAAGATTATTATTTTAGGCTGCATATCACAGGTTTAATACACAAAGTATTAAGTATTCCAATTATTTATATTTTTTCTCATTTCTACAGTTTTTTGTTAGGATAATGACTCCCTGGACATTGCCAGTGTAATAATTGGAGCCAATGACTTTGGGATGAAACTGTCATCTCCTTTGACACCATAGATTTTTCAAAATTTAGGACATACGAGCTCTGAGACAGGTGAATATTGTGGATTATCTGAGTGGGCCTGATTCTAATCACAGGAGGCCTGAAAGGGAGTTTATAGAAAGGCAAATTTCATGGAAGACATCTGTAGCCGTGAGTGCAGGAGCGTGGACAGCAAGGTAAGGCAGCCATCTGCACGCCCTCTGCGAGGGTCCCTTCACTCCCGGGCGTGGCATCAGTCCTGGACACAGGCCGGCCTGCCGCTGTGCGCACCGTAAGATGCTGCGTGTCTGCCATCCTCAGCCGCCAGGTCTGCAGTGTGCGATACAGCAGCAATAGGGAACCAGTTCAGCCCACCGCCAGTGTTTCAGTACTGCAAATTTTATAATAAATTGGTGGATGTGTTGGCTTGTGTCATCATTTGTGATTCAAGGAAATAGAAGAAATTACAAGACAGAATCCCCAATTTTCTCTGGCAGGATGGCATTGGTTCTACCTGTAGGCAGTGGACTTGCTATTAGAACTTTAGCAGTAATGGATATCATCACTTCAAACAACCTTTTCTGTTTTCCATTTTAAATGGGATTCCTTACATACAATGATTATTAAATACCTGTTAGAGGTGATAAAATGGACTGAGGCCTATAAATATATCATGTTGACATTTCTGTGATGATTCCTCTTGAAAGTGCAATTCTACTTCCTAATAAAGTTATCTGGTGACAGATTCTATAGTAGGGAACCATAGCAGTAAAACTCCATTTACCTCTTTATCCCAAACTGCTGGCCTTGAGAGAAAACTTGCAAGACACATTAAGGCAAAATGACAGGTTACGCCATGGGAAGATCTGGAGCCGCAGCTACACGCTGTGCCTGGCTGGACTGCCCTATCCAGGGTGGCTTGCGGCCTCCCGAGTTACATGGCTTCTCCTCGTACTTTGAGGAAGTGTTCCAAATGGCAGCAGGTGGTGCCTGGGGTCAACAGGCTGAGCGTCCCTCTTCTGAATCCAAAATGATCCACAATCTGAACTTTGGAGAACTGATGTGATGGGGCCCAGGGAAGACTACACATGAAATAACTTTGGGCACAAAATTATTTTAAAATAACGTATAAAATTCTCTCCAGGCTATGTGTATAAGTTTAAACCAAAAAAATAAATTCGAGCTCCCCTCACCAAGTTACCTCATTCTGAATATGCAAATACACGCAAATCTAAAGTTTTAGAAGTCCAACATCAGAAATGTACTGATCCCAAGTAATTTGTGAGGGGCCAGGGAGATAGCTCAGTAGAATAAGTGCTTGCTTGACAAGTGCAAGGGCTTGAGTTCAATCCCTGGTTCTGCC